GGTTCTGCTCATACCACTTCTCTGCTATCCTTTCATCACAATTCTAACAACTCTAATGACGTTGAATTGCATGATGGGTAAGGTTCTGCTCATACCACTTCTCTGCTATCCTTTCATCACAATTCTAACAACTCCAATGACGTTGAATTGCATGATGGGTAAGGTTCTGCTCATACCACTTCTCTGCTATCCTTTCATCACAATTCTAACAACTCTAATGACGTTGAATTGCATGATGGGTAAGGTTCTGCTCATACCACTTCTCTGCTATCCTTTCATCACAATTCTAACAACTCCAATGACGTTGAATTGCATGATGGGTAAGGTTCTGCTCATACCACTTCTCTGCTATCCTTTCATCACAATTCTAACAACTCCAATGACGTTGAATTGCATGATGGGTAAGGTTCTGCTCATACCACTTGTGTATCAGTATTGGATGTTCCATAAACATTCAATTGCCACAAACACAAGCAATTAATAAATACATGTATTTGTTTAATGTCTGTAATGGTAACATAATCATGTATGTCACTAATTCATTAGTTTCCTTATCCCAGAAGTAAAAAATAATTAATCTATTATATAATATGAAATTTGATCTGGAGTACAATTTTTTTGGCCACATAGGTTGTTCTCAAAGCCCTTAGTTTTCTTGGAACAGTAAAAATATGCCAAAAATGAAATGGGCTTTTATTTTCTGAAAGACAAAATGTTCCCTTTGGAAACATTAAAACCTGAACTGCCAATTACATGATGGTGCTTGCAAAAGTTTTACTATAAAGTGAGTTCATTTGTTTTATTCCTAACAGCATAGCATAAGGAAGTTTCATGATATTTCCGGCTCTGTATGGAAAGAAGATTCCCACTTGTATATTGTTCCATTAGATGACAATGGATTACAACATTTACTAGCGGCACATCCGGAATTGAAAGATGCTAAAGCAGAGCATTGTGTTGAAAATGCACCATACTGCGGTATTGCACACTATCTTCCCATTGGCCACATGATGAGGTCAGTATCACCATATTCCATTTGGTCACATGATGAGCTCACTAACATCATATTCCCATTGGCCGCATGATGAGGTCAGTACATAATATCATATTCCAATTGGCCACATGAGGTCAGTACGCAACACCATATTCCCATCTGCCACATGATGCAGTCAGTATCACCATATCCCCATTGGCCACATGATGAGGTCAG